CCTACACCTTCCCCTAGAGTCTGGCACAGGACAGAGGAACTCTGCAAAGATGCTCACCACTGAGGTTATGAGAAGGCAGGGCTCCCACCACCATTTCTGGGTGTTTCCTCAGCAAGACTGGCAGGGCCGGGGGCAGCAGGGCCTATGATCCCAGGGCTCCCCTTCTAAATGTTTTCCCTGCACAGGAGTTTCTCTTCTGCCCCTCTGAATAACCCATGCCTGCCTGAGGGCGAGCCTCTCCCCCACCAGAGCCTATATCTTAAATTTCGTTTGAGACACACAACTAGAACCCCACAATTTTCTCACCTACCTGTCAGATTGTGAGCAAAAAGTTTTCATTCTTGAACCCCCAGCCCTAAATACAGATCAGGCCCTGCGGTGTTTTATGAGTGGAAAGACAATTCAACCTCTTCAGCAGGCAATAATTTTTAGTTAGATGTAAGCACCCGTTTCAGTTTTAGTACTCACATATGCTATGGGTTGCTTTTTTTCTTTTTCTTTTTCTTACCTCTCCTTTTGATCCTTGTCTAGCCCTTTAAGACTTACATCATTGCTCTAAACCCACACTGCCCAGTAGAACTTTCCATGATGATGAAAATGTTTTCTCTGTGTTGTGTCCAATACAGTAGCTACTAGCCCCATGTGGCTACTGAGTACTTGAAATGTGGCAAGTGCAACTGAGAAGCTGAATTTTAAATTTTATTTTTAGTTAATTTACATAGCAATATATCTGGCTAGTGGTGACTACATCAGACAGCTCACCAGAACTGTCTAGCTTGTTCTTTTAATTCTCAACCTTCATGCAAATTGAGGATGTTATGTTCTCCTTGGCTTGGAATTGCCTCCTATTCCTCACTGAACAACACTCTGACAACCTTAACAAAGCAAAAAGCCCAGCACATCTTCCATTTCCGAGCACTTGCTCTGTGCCTAAGCACAGCCGTCTTGATGCGTCCCAGGAGAGGGAGCAGGAAGCACGTCTCCAGAAAGGAAGCCAGTGCACCCAACCACTTTGGACTCCGGGGCGTCTGGGGCAGAGAAGGAGGAGGGGACGGGGCGGAGTGTGAAAGACGTCCGCTCTGGAGCCTGCACGCCAGCCAGGCCGCATTTATTTATATCACAGGGTGTTACAGTTGTCAGCCCTGCAGCTGAGGAACTGGTCCATGTCTAAAGGAAGGGGACAGAAATCGGCTTTGTCCATGTTCCCTGGCACTTACTGTTGTTGTTCAAAGGATGCCAGAAGACTCAGGCAGTGGGAGCTATAGGAGAGGAAGCTGGCTCTGGACCGGCAGACACACTCTGGGTGTTATTAGAAAAAAAGAAATTTGAGTAACTTGCATGTTTGTATCCCAACTGATACAAACGTCATCTGGAACACTGTCTGGGTATTCTAGTCCCTATAGCCATGGGGACAGTTCTCACTGCCCAGAGCACAGTGACAGCACGACCACTCAAGCAGGTATACTGAGAGAAGCTGGGTCTGGGGCTCTGTGCTCAGTGTGACATGGCTACAGAGCTGGGTTCAAACAGCAGGGCTGGGAAAAGCAAGATCACCCCCACACTTATACAGGGATCTAGGATCCTTCCATTAGTGACAATTTTGGTCTACAAAATAATTGAGAGAAATGTTCAGTTATGGGATTAGAGAAGTGCTAGTTCCACCAATAGAGCACATTCACATGCTTTGAGATACACACCCGCGGGTCCCTCAACATGGGAACGCTCTGCTCTGCTGCCTGCAGAGTCCATGCTGACTTTGGGGTCTGGGCTCTCCCCCTACCACTTGCAGCACATTATTCTCCCTCCCTTTCCCCAGAGACAACACATTTTTTCACCTGTAAAACAGGTGGTTAATTAGCATGAAGCAAACATCTTAGATGCAAAATATTGAATTAAGTAACAAAGAATAATTTATTTGAGAAGAGAGACATAAGATACAAGGCTTAATTAACATATCTTCTTTTCCTTTCAAAGTTTTGCTATACTACTTTTCCCTTTCATGTCTATATTTTACCTTCCTCACTCATTTTGACGAGTATTTGTGATCCTTTTAAGTCACCCCCATGTAGGTTCTATACTCTTTCACTGCACTAGAGCAGCCCTTTGCAAAACTACTCCAAGCCTCCAGTGTCTGAATAAATTAATGTATTTTTCTAAAGTACACACACTTGACTGGCACTTTGGTAATACATAAAGAATGCCTTGAAGCTTCCATCCTCTCTGACCCACCAATTCTAAGTCCAGGAATTTATTCAAAGGAAATAATTAAGACTGTCCTCAAGGGTTTTGTTAAAGGTTGTTTACCCCTGCTGCTGTTTGCAATCACAAATAATTGAAAATGACTGACATGTCCCTCAAGCAGGGCTAGAAGATTCAGGGCTTAGGCACTTCTTAGTAGTAAGCGACCAATAACCAGTCACCAAGTCAATCAACCAACCCCAGAGTTGAAGTTAAGGTACAGACTGAGGACAGATCCAGAATTCACAGGACCTGATCTTATAAATTCAGGGTGACTAACTTTAAGAAAATTAACATAAAATTATCAAATTGGGAACAGGGCATTAATAGGGGTCTATGCAAGCAAGAACCCTTTGGGTTAAGTTTCAGCAGCCTTGCGCAATAAGTCTGGCCTGTAGAGGAAAGAAGGAGAAAGAAGATGCTGGAAGTCACTTACTTCAAAGGCCTTAGTTTACCAAGCCTGGGTAAAAAATACATTCGAACATACATACAGCAAAAAATACATTCAAGGTCTAAGACAAAGAATATTGGGAAAAAAGGAAAGAGAAAAAAAGGATGGGGAGGAAAACACTTGAAAACAACAGCATGAGAACAGAAATCAAGGGGACAACAAAATCTAAGAAAAAATTAAGTCAATGTGGTGGGTGGGGGAGTAAAACGAAGCATTATTTTTAGAAGATTTCAGTAAAGTTGGTGCCTGAACAGCTACAGGAACAAGCACTCCAACACAAAAAAGCAGCCAGCTTGTATCACAACAAGAGAGGGCACTTTTGAGCCCAGCAGCCCAGCTACATGGGTTCCCATGGACCCCTGAAATACCAGTCCCACATCTCAACTGGCAACAAGGATATGCACAGCATTATTGCCCAGCTCCACATCCCCTCCCTACCATTTACCCTGGGTAACAAGTTGAAGGCCAGAATGTCTTTTCATACACTGGCCAAATCTGCTCACAACAGCTTTTCTTTATCCCCTTTTTAAATCAAAGTAGGCTGAACACCTTTTCTCTGTCAGATCTGCTCTCGTCTCTACCCATTCCTTTTCCAGGCAGGGTGGTTTTGACCTGTGGCCCATGCAAATCCACAGTGACAGTGGCCTGGCCTCTCTCCCTCTAGCTGTCAAAGAGCTCTAAGGCACTTGAGCCAGCCTCAGCCTGCAGATCACACACAATGCTCTGGCTGGCTTGGCTGCCTGCTCAGCTGCCGGCCCTTTCTCAGCAGCCCCCTGTCCGCAGTAGCCCTCCCATTTTTGACAGTGCTTCCCATGTGCTTGGTGCCTAGTGTGGGGATCTGGGATGTGTTCTTCAACCTCAGACCCTGAGTCTGCAGGACACAGAAAAATGTTCAGCCTGCTCTGCTTTAAAAGGGGAATTTGACAAGTGTAAGAACAGACACGCGGTCTTAAACCCAGCAACTGGAGTGAGAGAGGGGGACGTGGAGCTGGGCGAGAGCTATGTGAGGGCTTTGAAATCTGGTTCTCTTGGAGGCTGATCTCCTGAACAACATTATTCTTAGTGGGATGGTCTCGGAGTCCCCTTTTCCGGGAATGCTTGAGTACTGCGATCCACAAATCACCCTTTTCCATCAGCCTCTGTCCAATACAGAGCAGTGACTCTCCTGCATAACTTCATGCACCGGCAACAGTGACCTCGACCTCCCTGCCTGCCACCCCTAAGGACGCTCAGGCTGGTGACTACACAATAAAATCAACCCCAGCCTGGCTGTCACCTGGGCCCCCACTGAGGCATGACCTTGAACGGGGGAACTTCCTGCAGCCTAACTCTCTCTCCTATCAAGAGGTGACCACTATGTGGCTGTTCATTCCCTCGGGTCCAGAGGAAGTGGCCAGTGAGGGCACCAACCTCCCCTTAGTGCTTCTCTGCTGGGGTTGGGCACAAGCTCTGTACCACTCAGCTTATGGTGCTTCATGGGGGAGGGCCGCCCCCTTCTTCAGGCCCACCTCTTCGTACTCAGGAGACAGCTGGACTCCTTGGCCTCTATAGAAACACGTCTCTCTCTTAAGGCTTCTGGTGAAGGTCTCCAGGTCGAATGGCCCGTATGAGATGAGGCTCAGGCTGCCGCAAGAAACACCTACCTGACCCACTGGCGGTGTCACTCGTAGGTGCTCCCTCACCCTCCTCTTCCCTATATCCCAGGAGCTTCTGCGCTCCACTTCCACCCAGGGTCTTGTAGGGGCGGGGTGGGAGGGGGGGGCTCTGGGCTCCAGTGCGCCCTAAGGGATCCCAGACACCCTGTCCCTGGGGAGCCCCACCCCGCGCAGCGGCGCTGTAGAGGCTATACTACTTCCTCAGGGGTTCCCCAAAATCGGGGAGAGGTGCAGCTCCAGTGGCCCGACTCCTCCAGGCCCTGCGAGGTTCAGGAAGCTCACCGGGCCAGCGGCGGCCACTCGGAGGCAGAGGAGCCAAGTTACTTTGCGATCCAGAGAGCGAAGCCGAGTCTGGCTGGGCGGCGGAGGAGACAACTCTAGCGGCTCTCCCCGCACGCTCCGGGCTGGGACCCCGGGGACGGGCCCGGACGCCCCCGTCCGCCTCCAGGCGCCGACCCCGACCTCAGAGGGCCCCGGACGGCGTCCTCCCTTCTCCCGCCATCCCCCCGGCGGCCGAGCCGCGCGCAACAGAGACATTTAAATCGCCCCCTCGGGACGGCGGCATGGAGGAGGCCGGAAAGGCGGCGGCGGCGCTGGCCTGGGGACCGGGGCGGTGGCCGCGCGGGCCAGGGTCGCGGAGCTGGGCGGGCACTCACCAGCGCGTGTTGTCGTGGAAATGCTCCAGAACCGCGTAGCCGAAGAACGAGTCGGCGGGGCCCTGGAAGTGCACCGGACGCTGCGGGTCGAGGTTGTAGGCGCCCGCGGGGATCCCCGCGACCACCAGCGCCAGCAGCAGCGCGCGGAGCCCCCCGGCGCCCCTCGGCGCAGCCGGGCCGCCCATACCTAGCCGGCCGCCGCCGCCTTCCCCTCTGCCCGGCGAGCAGGGCGCCGAGTGCGCGGGCCGCGGGGTCAGCCGACGGCCGGGAAGCTCCCCGGGGCGGGAGCTCTGCGCCTGGACACGGGCGGGATGCGGGCGTCGGGCCCGGCACTGGGGCGCGGACGGCGGGCTGAGCGGGCGCTGAAGGCAAGCACAGGGACGGCCCCGAGCGGTGGGCGTCCTCAGTCCGCCCGAGAAGTCTGCGCCAGCGGGTCCCGGGCCGGGCGGCGCTGGACTGCGGAGGGGCGCGCCCGCAGGGTGGGCGGCCCGGGCGGCAGCGGCTGGACGGCGCGGCAGCGCCCCCTGCGGGCTGCGAGCCCTGCGCGCACTTCCCGGGCGGGAGTCAGCCTCGGGGACCCGCCGAGGCGCCCCGAGCTGCCCCCTCCCCGCTGCGCACGGGGCGCTCGGGTTCCCGGAGATAAAGCTGCTGCCCTCCGCCACTACAGGCTCTGCCGGCCCTAGTGGGCCTGTCTCCCTGCTTTTGTCTCTCTTTCCCTCCCTGTCTCACAACCAGTAAGATCCAAAGCAACCCCGGTGAAAGACGAGTTTAGACTCCAGATTCTAGCCCTGCGCATCCTCTGCTCCTTCACCCAGTTGTGAGATAAGCTGTAGGAGCAGTGCTCAGTAAACGCCCGCTGTTGTTGTTCATAACAATAGTAGCCACGTGGAAGCGAGCAGAGCACCCCTCCATATTCTAGTCACTTGGTCTCATACACCAGTGATTCCCTAAGTGTGGTGTCTGGACCAGCAGCATCAACGTCATCTAGGAACTTGTCAGAAAAAGCAAATCCTCAGGTCCCACTCAGCTCTGCTAAATCAGAAGCTCTGTGGGTTGGAATCCAGCAGGGTCTGCGTGCACTCAAGGGTGTGTGTGTGTAATTGTAAATATGCATAAGAGAAAGTCTACCATCTTAACCATTTTTAACTGTGCCGTTTGGGGGATTAAGTATATGCATGTTATGCAACCATCACCACCATCCAACTTCAGAACTCTTCATCTTGGAAAACAAACTTTATACCCTAAACAATAACTCCTCTTTCCCCCTAACCCTACCCCCATCCCCACCACCAGCCTCTGGCAACCACCTTTCTACCTTCTGTCTCTATGAACCTGACTACTCAAGTTCAAGATTCCTACTGAATTGACTGCTATCATGTTGAAGTCTGACCACACTCTTGTGGTTTCCCTGCTTGTGTTCTCTTCTTTCCACTTTTTAATTCTACAACAGAGTTTGGACAATGGTTAAAAACTTCCTGTTGCCCCCCACCAGCTACTCCTGCCTATAGGATGGAGCCAGGTCTCCTTAGCATAACTTCAAATGGAGGCTCCATCTGTTTCCAGCCCCATTTTATGCCCCTTTCCTGACTCACTTCCCACAAACCCTACAATGTATCCACACACAACTTCTAGCTGTCCCCTGAATGTGTCCAGCAGGGGTTTTCACACACGTTGTGCCTTCTCCAACACTTCTTTCTTCCTGAAATGTGTCTACCTAGGATTTTCAACTGGCAAAATCCTATCCATCCTAGACTTCCAGTCCAGTTCTCGCCTCACCCTTTCTGTACCATTTCCTCTGCTCCTTTCTTCTCTGAGCTGCCAAAGAGTGTCCACATGCCTCTATCTCGACACTTAGAACATGTTAATCATTTTGGGGGCTCTCTTTCCCTCTCTATAGACGGTACAGCTCTCTAAGGAGAAAAAAAATCTTAGATATCTTTGTAGCCCCCAACACCCAGGTCAGTGCCAGGCTTAGGTAGATGCTTAAACATTGTTGAAAGAATGAACTGGCCGGGTGTGTTGGCTCACTCCTGTAATCACAGCACTTTGGGAGGCCGAGGTGGGTGAATTACTTCAGGTCAGGAGCTCAAGACCACCTGGCCAACATAATGAAACCTTGTTTCTACTAAAAATGCAAAAAATTAGCCAAGCGTGGTGGCACATGCCTGTAATTCCAGTTACTTGGGAGGCTAGAGGCAGGAGAATAGCTTGAACCTGAGAGGTGGAGCTTGCAGTGAGCCGGGAGTGTGCCACTGCACTGCACTCCAACCTGCGTGACTGAGCGAGATTCCATCTGATAAAAAAAAAAGAAAAAAAAAACTAAGAATGGCCTGGTGTGGTGGCTCATGCCTTTAATCCCAGCACTTTGGAAGGCCAGGCGGGCAGATCACCTGAGGTCAGGAGTTCAAGACCAGCCTGGCCAACCATGGCCAACATGGTGAAACCCCATATCTACTAAAAATACAAAAATTAGCTGGGCAGGATGGCGCATGCCTGTAATCCCAGCTACTTGGGAGGCTGAGGCAGGAGAACTGTTTGAACCTGTGAGGCAGAGGTTACAGTGAGCCGAGATCGTGCCACTGCACTCCAGCCTGGGTGACAGAGTGAGAATCCGTCTCAAGAAAAATGAAAAAAAAAGAATGAACTGCTTAAAGAAAAGCAAGCTTAGTAAGAGAACAAGGCACTATGGGGGAGATTTTGAAGGAGACTTTTAACTTCCTTTGTATTTTGGTTGTGTGAGAGTGAAAAATGATCAATTCTCATTGCAGGACACAAAACACAAGGTTTTCTTTTGGTTTTTGTTTTGGTTTGGTTTTGTTGTTGTTGATTTTTGAGACAGTGTCTCGCTCCTGTCTCCCAGGTTGGAGTGCAGTGGTGCAATCACAGTTCACTGCAGCCTCAACCTTCCAGGCTCCAGCAATCCTCCCACCTCAGCCTCCCAAGTAGCTGGGACCACAGGCACGTACCACCATGCCCGGTTAATTTTTGTATTTTTGGTAGAAACGAGGTTTTGCCATGTTGCCCAGGCTGATGTCAAACTCCTGAGCTCAAGTCATCCACCTGCCTTGGCCTCCCAAAGTGCGGGAATTACAGCCATGAGCCACTGTGCCTCGCTGAAGTTTTCATCTGCGGTAGAGATCACTAGTATCTTCCCAATATTTATACTTCCCATTTTTCTTACTAACAAAGCCCACAGTTAGTGGAGTGTTAATATGCCTAGCTTTAAAAATAAATAAAACTATGTTTCCCAGTCTCTTTTGCAGACAGAGTAGCCATGTGCAGTGTCTGGCCAATGAGATACGAGCATGTGATTTGGGTGGTAGGCGTCTCAGGTGGTTTCCTAAAGGAGAGCCAACTCAGAGCTGACTTACAGCTTTCGTCCTGTGCCCTTGCCCCTCTTGCGTGAAGCACAGAGGTCATGGCTGGAGATGCAGCAGCTGTCTTGAGGGCCACCTCGAAGGAAAGGCCGGGAGAATTGCAGAGACTTCAGCCGTCACATCCTAGAACTGCTGCACCTGACGTGGACTGCCTTCCTGGGGACTTCTTACTACCAGAGAAAAAGTAAACACCTAATTTATAACAGCCACTGCTTTTAAGGATTCTGCTATTTGCAGGCAAACAGAATTCCTTGCCGATTTAACATCTAGAATGAATGGAATCTAGAACAGATGCTCCTAACCTAGAGTTCATTCATTTTCCATGTTGCTTCAGAGGTCCTAAGATCCCCTGTGGTCGGTAATCCCTGGAACCTGTGAATACGTCACCTTGTATGGCAAAAAAAGGACTTTGCGATGTGATTAAGGTTTAGGGTCTTGAGATGGAAAGATTTTCCAGGATTATCGGGCTGGGCCCACTCTAACTATGTCAATCCTTAAAAGCAGAGAATCTTTCCTTGGCTGTAGCCAGAGAAAGAGATGTGCAGTGGAAGTGGGGTCAGAGAGATACCACACTGTTGGCTTTGGAGATGAAAGAAGGGACCCATGAGCCAAGTAATACAGGCAGCTTCTAGAAGATGGAAGAGACAATAAAATGGATTATCTCCTAGAGCCTCTAGAAAGGCAACACCTTGAGTTTAATCCAGTGAGACCCCTGTCCCATTTCTGACACCCAGAACTGTAAGATAATAAATGTTGTTGTTTTAAGCCACTATACTTGTGACCATTTGTTATAGCAGAAGCAGGAAACTAATATAGCCCTCCAGAATTGTATATAGAAGTGTGTATGTGTGTGTTTGTGTGTTTCTTAGGGAAGGATCTCTAGATTTCAACAGATCCTTTAAAGGTAAGGTAGGTTTTAGAAGGTAGGAAACCACTGATCTAAAACACATTGATTTCCAACTTTATAAACCAAACCCTAGGCATTGGTCTTTGATTTAACTAAACAGTAGCTCTCAATCCTGACTGTATATTAGATTCCCAGGCAACTATTTAAAAATACAGATTTACCAACAACACTCTGGGTCAGAATCTAGGGGCAAGGCCCAGGAATCTGCATTTCAAACGCCTCTTGGGAGATTTGTCGAGTAGCCAGATTTGGGAAGCACCGTTCTACAGGAGAGAGATTCAGAGCCCTGCACTATATTCCTTAGCCTGTGGCGCCATGATGTGGTAAGGAAAACGTAGGATTTGGCATCTGGTGAAGAGAATTTAACTCCCAGGCCTCAACAGCTGTGTAACTTTAGTAAATCAATAAAACAAGGATACTAATAACTAATAAACCTATTGATGAGCTTCTCAGGACAGCATTTCCTAATCATAAAACTCTAAACATGTATTAGTTATTTGTGTAATCTGACCTCAAGAGTGAGCTCAATTTCCTAGTTGCCAGAATAAGCTGTTTTACAGAGACTTGACCTGAAGTGCGTGTCTCCAGGGTCACTAGCTGGAGGGGAGAGGCATAATATTTCAAACCTGGACATACAAAATGCAGATTTGCTTTATGGGATGGAGCCTTTTGAAAAACTGAACCCCTTGTCCACTTTCCCAACTGAAATGGCAACCAAATGCCCTCCATTCCTTTATGCTCTCACTTCAAGAAGAAATCTGAAGATTTTCCACTAGCCTTAGTGGCTGCAGACTGAACAGCATGCTCTATCAGCTCACCTATCATTGGCCTTTTCTATAGTCTGTGCGAAATTGCTCTCCACAGTTACTTTGTTAAACAGTTAAACAGTTACATACATACTTTGTTAAATTGTTACAGCTACTGTAACAATGCAAAAGAAGTGATGGTTATACTGCTCTACTCCCTCCTGCCCCACTGCAGAGAGGAATATTGGAATGATTAAATGTCAGGTTGAAAACAACACTGGTTTTTTAGAAGCCTCAAAAAAGTCTTGGAGGCCAGACACAGTTGCTCATGCCTGTAATCTCAACCTTTGGGAAGCCAAGATGGGAAGATTGCTTGAGGCCAGAGTTTGAGACCATCCTGGGCAAC